CTTTCCCAGCTACCCCACATTCTGTCACATCATGAAAGCTCTTCTATCCCCTCTGACAACTCCACACCTTATCCTTTTGCCCCCTTGGATTCCATGGAATGAATAAACAGGGGTCCACTCAAAAGCTTGCTTGCTTTTACTTCTGACAACTCTCTGGGCAGTGGCACTGTGCCTTGTTTTCCCTGTCTATCTCCACTGTCTGCTCTGAGTCCAGCGCTCAGAGGACAAGGCTGTCTTGTCTCAGCACCAGGCTATAAATCACGCATAAGGCAGCCAGCCGTCTTCCCGTCCTCTCAGATTAATTGATTGTCAGGAAGATATTTCTGCCTGCAGAGGAGCAGAGGCCCCTGGAAGAGGCAGTGAGAGAGGTGGTGAGGGGCTGACTTGGTAACCTGTGAACCCAGCCTGGCTTGTTATATCCCCACCTACCCCCTCACGTGAATCACTCAAAGCCTTTGGCGGAGGGGTGCCCAGGACCACTTTAGCTGCATGAATCACAGCCACGTTGGGAGCCCAGGTCAGAAATGCCTGTGCTGCTGAAGGGCTCTCCTCTGTCACAGGAAGATGGCTCTAGGCAACCCCACAGTCCTGGAGGCACCCTGGATGCACACGTCTTCTCTTGGGGTCTTGCTGTGACCCTGGAGGTCAGGAGACTGAAGATGCCTGATCCCTGTCCCACCCCCACTTCTCGGCTTCTGGAGACTCACACCCAGTGACCCTGCACCGAGATTCTGCTGGCAGGACTGCAAGGCCAAAGGGGAGCAACACCCCACCTTTAAACTAAAGCGGTGCTACATTCCCATATGTTAGGGTCGCCAGGAACTTTCATCTGCTCAAAGGATTCTGTGGCTGAAAAAATAACGGCTCAAAACCCCCTGTATTAGATGATCTTAGATACGAAGCTTAAAGGCAAAAATGTCCTAGGGTCTGAGGAGCTCAGCTTCCTTCTGGCAACCCTCCCACTATGGGCAGTCGTGCAGGGCAGGGGCTGGGGGGTTCCTTCCTCCCACAACGTGGAGCATCAGCTGGCTTTAAAACCAGCTCTGAGTTTTACTCTCCATGGCATTCCTCCATCCTATACACATACTAGTCTTTGGAGAGGAAAAAGAAGATACAGAAAACACACACACACACACACACACACACACGCACACACGGGGCTGTTGGAAAAACCAATACCAACGTCAATGAAAAAGCTAAACTCTGCTTAAAGTGGAACACAATGTTCCCTTGGCCTGGAATGCCCTTCT